CCACAATTCTTCTGGCCGGCCTCCACATGAGCTACGGTCGAAACTCGGTACATAAGCTAATGGACGCCATGTTGGGGGTGTCGCTTTTCAGGTGGTCCCGTCGCTTTGCAGTGTTTTTGCTCGACATGTCCACCGCATACAAAATTCCATACAACCGAGTATTGACTGTGGCTCATATTATTGTATTGTGTACACACTTCAAGTGAGCAGAATGGGCAATAGTATGCGAAACGACGAGGCCTTCATGACATTCCTGAGCATAGGACACGCTTCACTTTCTGTGGTTGCAAACTGCTGCGCATTGTCATTACATCGCTGTGTTTTATTATGAGTACATGCTAGCGCGCTTCACTTTCTGTGGTTGCAAACTGCTGCGCATTGTCATTACATCGCTGTGCTTTTTATTATGAGTACTCATGCTAGCGCTGTTGGTGTTCTGCTGCCGCGGCTGCGGCTGCTGTGGCTGCTGTGGTGGCTGCTGCTGATGCTACTACTGCATGATTGTGCCTGCTTGCGGTTGTGGTCGCCACTGCAGCCCTTGCGACAGGCACTACTCTTATTGTGAGCATGCTTATGCTTTCAGCGGTTCACAATTGCCGTTTATTGGTTCTTTGTTTGTCGTGCTTAGGGGGGCAGTAGAAGCATTCACGGTTTCTCTTATAGCTGCGCCATTGTGGCTGCAGAAGCGATTGAACAGAAACGACCCTAAATTAAGTTGCCACTTGAGCGGGTCGTGGGGAGACTCGGGGACTAGGTAGGAACAAGCCAAGCTCTGGCGTAACACAGATAACAAATATCTTTGAGTCCCGGATAGATAGCATGTAGTAATTTACCCACCTAGCTCCTAAACCCTGAATCCACACACATGTGATTCTCCATTCTTCCCCTTCTTCCCCTGAACCTTCTACATCCCTACATAACCCTGACAGAAAGGGAATTAGTAGTCACTGGCCTTCTTCGAGCCCAGGCGGGAGATGGCTTCGGAGCCACCAGCTCCACCACCTAGGCAAAGCCGAGGGTCGGGGCCTTGGAGGAACATGGGTGATTGTCAAAATTATGGTCCCTTTTTGGGTACCCTAAATATTAGGTGCCGTGTTATCATAGGGATCCAAAAAAGGGACCATAATTTTGACAACTACCCACATGGCTGTGGTACTAACCCCTCGTTATACTACCCCCCTCAGTGTTACACCTTAGTAAGCCCAAGCAAAGTGTTAAACAAGCCTGCTTACGGAGGGACCCTAGGGGGCTAAGTGGGGAAGGGGGGGGGGGATTAGTGGAACCCATGATACCTCCCAGACGGTTTGCATGGTAGCACCGTGAAGTCCATGACAATGGTGTGTATTTTTGTGAGTCTTGGAAGGCTTATGGAAGGCTTGAATGTTCGGGGTGCAGGCTGAAGCTAAGGAGTTGTAGCCGTTAGAATGTTTCCAGACAGGTCGCTTTAAGCTTTCGAACATCTCTCTTACGCCATTCTATCTACGGAGTCAGGACTCCTCGTTTGCGTTAGATGTGGCTGGAGGAGGGGTGTTGAGAAAGACCATTTGCTTGCTTGGCAGGTGGGGAACTGGCCCTCGCATTCGGCAGTGGGCGTCACAGGACTTTCACGTCAGCATGACCAGCATTGGCGGAGAGGTACAGTTAGTGGTTACCGAGTCATGCGTGAAGTAGGTGAACCTCTATAGCGGCCTCCACATGGCAGCTTTATGACCGTCTGTTAAGCTGATTGGCTGGACTCAGAGGACGACACTGATTCTGACGACGAGATCGTTCCATACTGGAGGCTGGTGAGTGACATGCACAGGGCTAATCAAAAGGTGTTTCTATAAGAAACCTTGCTTAGGGTCCTCATAGGTTCAGAAGACAGACAACTAGAGATCGCGGAAGCAAAGAGAAGACTTCTCTTGGTATAAGACTGCTAAGGAAGATTACCTCACATAAAGCTGATAACAGCTATGATTCTGGCATAGGCCCCAAACAGAGCAGGGCCCCTAGCAGTGTTCCATGAGCATTGCTAGAGCTCTCAAAGAACACTCCAAGAGCACTCCAGGAGTACTCTAAGAGGACTCCGGCTGATGGTGGTTTCCCAGAAGTAGGGGTAGCATTTTGGGGGTCCCCAGGGTAAGAACTATAATATTTTGTGGCTGATATTGGGGTCCCGCTTTTTCAGGAAACTCGCATCTCAAGAAGAGCACTCCAAGACCACTGTAAGAGCATGCAAAATGCGAGGATGCTCTACACAAGAGCGCGGTTTAAAGCCAACTATAGTAGTTTCCATTTTCTTTTCCATTATCCCAATATAACCCTTATATAACCCCTATATAATCCCTATAATCCCTATATATTCCATTATAGTAGTTTCCATTTTCTTTTCCATTATCCCAACATAACCCCAATATAACCCCTATATAACCCCCTAATTTTGGGAAACCCTAAACCCTTATCCCTAAACCCTAACAGTAGTTTCCATTTTATTTTCCATTATCCCCATATATGTAATTGGCATTGAGACACCGAAAGCAACAAGAGTTTTGCACTTCACGCATGTGAGCGGGACTCTGGCCGGAGCTCAAAGGCGACTCGAAATTGTAATGGGTTTAGGGTTGAGGGTTTAGGGTGGGTAAGGATGTTGCACGGTGGCTCCACGCGGGAGCTACACAAAAACCCGTCTCCACAGGACACTCCACGCAGGCAGGATAGTTTGGGTTGCTGTTCAGGAACTTA